CAAAAGTATTAAAGAAGAAACAATCCATCAACAAAATGATACCAATGTATCAATAGTATAATTATATATGACAAAAATATTTACCAAGATTAGGTAGGTAAACAAAAAATAAAAAACTGCTATTTTATGAGAGATGAAATAGGGGTTTTTTTTGCTTTCAAAGTACTAATCAATAATAATAACACACATATATAGCAAAAGGTGAAATAGTTGGTGCATTCGGATTAACAGAACCTAATCATGGATCTGATCCGGGAGGTATGCAAACATATGCAGATAAAAAAAATGGAGTCTATATACTACACGGGTCAAAAACATGGATCACCAATTCACCGATTGCTGATGTTTTTATTATCTGGGCCAAATGTAAAGAGGATCACAAGATTCGTGGATTTATATTAGAAAAGGTGATAATATATAATTTATATATGATATTTAATTATTTAATTGATTTAATATAAATTTTTAGGGAATGAAAGGATTATGGGCGCCAACAATTAAAGGCAAACTATCGCTTCGAGCATCAATTACTGGGATGATTATGATGGATAATGTAGAAGTTCCTGAAGAAAATTTGTTACCCGAAGTGGAAGGTCTAAAAGTAAGCAACAATTAGAATTTAATTGGTATTTAGTAATTGATTAATCCATCAATTAATCGTCCACAAATCAATTAATCCCAAGGGACCATTTGGTTGTCTTAATAATGCACGATATGGAATCCAAATGGTTGGTCCTTTAAATTAGGTGGTTTAGATTTTGCTGGTGGAACACCTGTACACATTTCATCTGGTGCAGCTGCCTTAGCTTATGCTATTGTAGTAGGAAAACGTCATGGTCATGGTACTGACACCGATGAATTCAAACCACATAATATTGCAAATATTGTACTTGGAACTGCTTTACTTTGGTTCGGTTGGTTCGGTTTCAATGGTGGTTCTGCTTTGGCTGCAAATGGACGTGCCGCTATGGCTTGTGCCGTAACAAATTTATCTGCTTCCGTTGGTGGTCTTACTTGGACTTTACTTGACTATAGACTTGAAAAGAAATTTTCTGCCTTAGGCTTTTGTTCAGGTGCTGTTGCTGGTCTTGTTTCCATAACGCCGGGTTCCGGTTTTGTTGGTACACCTGCCGCATTTGCTTTTGGTTTCTTTGGAGCTTTATTCTGTAACATTGCCGTCAAATTAAAGCATATGTTTAAATATGATGATGCTGCAGATGTGTTTGCTGTACATTGCGTAGGTGGAATTGTTGGTAATTTATTGACTGGTATATTTGCTCAACAATCAATTGCCGCTGCTGATGGTAGTGCTCCAATTCCTGGTGGATGGTTAGATCATAATTGGATACAATTTGGTTATCAATTGGCTGACTCCGTTACCGGTCTTAGTTATAGTTTTATTGTCACATTCGTGCTATTACTTATCATGGATAAGATCCCTGGTTTATCACTCAGAGTTGATCCTGAAACTGAAGCCAAAGGTTTAGACGAAGGTGAAATGGGTGAACTGGCTTATTATCATGTTGATCGTCTTGTCGCTATTAACACTAGAACTGGCGAAACCAAAAGTATTAAAGAAGAAACAATCCATCAACAAAATGATACCAATGTATCAATAGTATAATTATATATGACAAAAAAATTTAATAAACAAACAAAAAAAAAACAAATAATCACAATCATAATTTTATTAATTCATCAATAATAACACATTTTAATTTAAAAAAAAATTCGTATATACACAATTTTTTTATATATATGTAATTTTTTATATATGATAATATTTATTTTTTAATCTCCATATTCATCTTTTTCACACACCTTTCAAATAACATTTTTTTTCCCCTTTTTTTTCATCAATTGATTTTTTTTTTTTAAAAAAAAAACAAAATTCCATCACCAATAATGAATAATAATATATATAATATATTTATATATATACAAAACACACTACTATGTATTTATAATAATTTAACGACAGTTATATAATAAAATGCGATTTGGTATTTTTAAAATATATTTAATTTACCCTCGTATATATATATATAATATTTTAATATATTTATTATTTAATAAATCAATTCTTTTTACAATCATAAAAATATATATTAAAAAATTTTTAAAGTAGAAAATAAATAAATTCTGATCCATGTTGTGTAAAAATATCAAAAGAATTACAACAACAATGACTATCGCAAATTAATAATATGCGAGGAAATAAAAATCAAAGATTATGAAGCTGTAAATGCTTGTTCTCCGGTTATTGCTTTACCCAAAATAAGTGTATGAATATCATAAGTTCCTATCAAAAAAAAAAGAAAAAAGAAATTAAAAAATTCAATTAAATAATCAATCATTCATATTTAGAGAGAAAACATCACACATCCATATAAAATAATAAAATTACCTTCATATGTATTAGTAGTGCATAAATTTTGTTCATGTCGCATAATATGATATTCGTCACTGATTCCATTACCTCCCAACACATCTCTCATAGATCTAGCTATATCTAAAGCTTTATTACATGAATTTCGTTTAATTAACGATATCATTTCTGGTGACACTTTTTGCTCATCTTTTAATCTACCAACTCTCAAACATGATTGTAATCCAAGCGCAATCTATTGTATATATTAATTAATCAATAAATTTTTAAATAATTGTAAAAGTTTAGTTTGGTATAACGAACCTCAGTATTAGCATCAGCGAATTTCTTTTGAATTAATTGAAATCGAGCTAACGGTGCTCCAAATTGCACTCGATTCAATGCGTATTCACGAGCTTGTGCTAAACAAAATTCTGCTGCGCCCATAACTCCCCATGCTATTCCATATCGTGCATTATTAAGACAACCAAATGGTCCCTTGGGATTAATTGATTTGTGGACGATTAATTGATGGATTAATCAATTACTAAATACCAATTAAATTCTAATTGTTGCTTACTTTTAGACCTTCCACTTCGGGTAACAAATTTTCTTCAGGAACTTCTACATTATCCATCATAATCATCCCAGTAATTGATGCTCGAAGCGATAGTTTGCCTTTAATTGTTGGCGCCCATAATCCTTTCATTCCCTAAAAATTTATATTAAATCAATTAAATAATTAAATATCATATATAAATTATATATTATCACCTTTTCTAATATAAATCCACGAATCTTGTGATCCTCTTTACATTTGGCCCAGATAATAAAAACATCAGCAATCGGTGAATTGGTGATCCATGTTTTTGACCCGTGTAGTATATAGACTCCATTTTTTTTATCTGCATATGTTTGCATACCTCCCGGATCAGATCCATGATTAGGTTCTGTTAATCCGAATGCACCAACTATTTCACCTTTTGCTATATATGTGTGTTATTATTATTGATTAGTACTTTGAAAGCAAAAAAAACCCCTATTTCATCTCTCATAAAATAGCAGTTTTTTATTTTTTGTTTACCTACCTAATCTTGGTAAATATTTTTGTTTTTGTTTTTCAGTACCATAAGTATAAATAGGATGCATTACAAGAGATGATTGAACACTCATGGAAGATCGATATCCACTATCTATCCTAATAAATACATAATGTATAATTACTCTCCCTTACGTTTTTTTATCACAAACCTCCCTCTTTTATCTCTCACTCACTCACCTTTCAACTTCACGTGCAATCAAACCATAAGCAACTGATGATACACCAGCACAACCATATCCTTGAATTGTAGATCCTAATAATCCTAATTCCCCCATCTCATTTAAAATCTCTCTATCAAATTCTATTATTATATAAGAGTGAAAATGAGTATCGAGGATATTAATCGATTTGATCATATACACACATATGTGTTGTTAATACATTTATGACTAACTTTCTTGTCGATATGCTTCTATAATTCGTGGCAACAGTTTAGTTTGGAAGATCGATATCCACTATCTATCCTAATAAATACATAATGTATAATTACTCTCCCTTACGTTTTTTTATCACAAACCTCCCTCTTTTATCTCTCACTCACTCACCTTTCAACTTCACGTGCAATCAAACCATAAGCAACTGATGATACACCAGCACAACCATATCCTTGAATTGTAGATCCTAATAATCCTAATTCCCCCATCTCATTTAAAATCTCTCTATCAAATTCTATTATTATATAAGAGTGAAAATGAGTATCGAGGATATTAATCGATTTGATCATATACACACATATGTGTTGTTAATACATTTATGACTAACTTTCTTGTCGATATGCTTCTATAATTCGTGGCAACAGTTTAGTTTGACAATATTCTTTTGCAGTATCTCTAAAATTTTTATTCTTTATTAGCTTTAATGTATATGCATGCTGCTAACGATGATTTTTACACTGACACATTCATTTTCCAAAAAAAAAAATATATAATCTTAATTTTAAATAAATTAATGAAAATATTAACCTAATTGCAACCTCTTCACTTGTCAGCATTGATTCTAGATCAAGTGGATCTTCCCAATTATATTTGACTTTATCTGAATAAATACAATTTAAAAAAACCATTATAATTTGTTGAATTTAAAATATATACACTTGTATATCTATTATTGTTTACTTGAGGCATTTGCAGAAATGGTTCTTGAAATTATTACTGTTGGTTTATGAATGAAGTATGATAAATTTCCGAATTTTAAAAACCTTGAGCATCGAAACATTTTTAAAATAATGATGACTGTAACACAATATATTGATTGTCACGAGTCGGTTTTCATTGATATATAGTTGGCTTGGTCTAAAGCCCTCCTAAATTTTTTAAAGTATTAGGTATAGAAGTCATTGTATGTCCTACCTTTTAAAAAAATAGTTCTATTAGTTGATAGAATGTGTCTTTAGTTTTAATGTAATAGAAAGATTTTCTCAAAAAATTTATTTGTCATAGAGCTCTATTCTTTTTTAAAACATACACTTTACTATTACTATGCTCAGAGATTTGAACGCTAGGATCATTGCTAAATTTAGGCTAGTTTTTTATCATTATTACTAAATTTAGACTAATACTCGACCATCATATCTAAATTTGGCAGTAAGGAAAATAATTTTTTAACCAAAATCAATTCGTTTTGTAATAATAAAACAAATCAAATTCTTTTTTTTTGTTCAATAAAACACTTTTGTGGTCGGAAATTAAACAGTAGAGTTTAGTTGACCGTTTGGTTTTCACCTGCAGTTTAGGTTTTGTCAACTTCACCGCAAAATTTGGCCTAAACTATGATTAGTTCCGGCCGTCATCCACCAGCCTTGTGTCTTTAATTATGTATTGTGTCACGAATTGTCTTGAAATACGTCTTGCGTCACGAATTGCCTTGAGTTACGTCTTGCATCACAATTGAGTTCTACATCTCTTGCATCATAAATTGTGTTTAGCGTCACGCACGACACAAATTAGAGCCTTTAAACCACTATAACTGTTTCGCCTTTTATATTTAATTAATTATTATTATCTGAATTTATGTAAATCACAAACTTTTCTTATTAACCCGAAATCAACCCGAAAATTTCGGGACGGGTTCGGGACGGTCTCAGGTTTGCCTTTAAAACATTCGGGCCAAGCCCGAACCCGTCCCGTTAGGAGCTTTAGTAATATTTACACTCAATGTAATAATTGCATAATTTTTGTATGCTTATTTGCATAATATTATAGGGCCTGCCGTAAACTTACGTAAATAGTGTAATAATTACATAAATCCGCATCAGAAAAAATTTCCTGGTGAGGTTCTGGAACAATATTTTGAGTAGGCTGAATTAAAGTTGCTTGCTGAAACCTCTTAGTGACTGTTGAAACTCTGTTGAAACTCTAATGAACAATTAGTATATACCTTGTCAAAACTCTGACGATTGACAAAACCCCAAATGTGAAACTCTGCCAAAACTCTAATTAACAATTAATGTGTAACCTGTCGAAACTATGTCGATTGTTTTCTGGAGAAGTTTCGCCCACAACCTTAGGTTGAATAACAGGCATAATCTGAGTTTGAACATTACCATGGCTAGTAAATGTATTAGGTTTTCTTTCAAGCCACATATTTTTTGTTACGCACCTAAGAAATTGAAACTAAGTAAATTTCGTGTAACAACTTTTTTTTTCATAAAATATTTTCTACAACATACGTTTGATTTATTTGATTTATTTATTTCCTTTTTTTTTATTAATAAATAAAAGTTCTTTACAACAAAAAAGTTTAACGAACATATTACATTAAAGAAAATCATTATCAAATTTGGTCGCGAAATTCAAAATATTGTAACACGAAAATTATTGTTGTATTTCTGAGCATAACTTTCAAATTTATGGAAAGAAAATATGAAACAAATTTTTTTTTTTAGATTAATAGACTCCTTTTTTAAAGCTGAATTGAATGGTGGTGGGTTTTTAAAAATCCAATGTGTGGATCGCATAATATTTCGAAAATTTTAACTTTTGGGTGATCCGCACAAAAATATCCGCAGCATCATGAGAATATCCAATTTTATTGGTGTGGGTGCGTGTTATCCTTATTTAGAAATCGATTTGGCGATTGCGGATATTTTTTGTGGATAACTACATGATAATGTACCAACCAATCTTCACTTGAGATTATTATCGTTATTTTTGTTTATAAAAAAAATGATGATTTATAAATTAACAAAATATCTAAAGAACAATTTACACGGATTAAAATTTATAAATTATAATAACAAAAGTCCTCAACCAGGCGATAAAGGTAATTAATTGACCATAAAAATCATAAGTATAAATTTTTAATTAATATATCATTTATGGTAGTTATAGTAGCAATGTCAGGAGGTGTTGATTCAAGTGTATCTGCTTATTTATTAAAAAGGCAGGTAAATTTTTTGCAATAATTTTCTCATTGGAAAAAAAATTTTTTGATAGCCAACTTTAACTAATCATCGGTAATTGTTATGATTACTATTGATCTTTTAGGGTTATTTGGTAGAAGGCATTTATATGCGTAATTGGGATTTGGTGGATGATATAGGTGCATGTACAAGCGATAGAGATTGGTCAGATGTACAAAAAGTATGTGAACAATTAGAAATACCTTGCAATCAGGTAATGAATAAGATCTTTTTTTAATCTAATTAATTTATTAAATCTACACACATACATGTAATTGAAATGTATATGTGTGTGTGTGTATGTATGTATGTATGTTCCTTAATTTCTAAATCTCTTTAATAAAGATTAATCTTACTAAAGAATATTGGTTAAATGTGTTTATTAAAATGATTCATGATTATGAAAATGGTATAACGCCTAATCCTGATATTATATGCAATCGTGAAATTAAATTTGGAGTGTTCTTGGATAAATGTTTGAATTCTTCTACATCAATCAGTCAAAATGAAAATAGTACAACTTGGATTGCAACAGGTAAAATTAATAATATATTTATATTTATACTTGTATTTACATTTATATATTTATTTTATTTTTTGGCTCAATAGGACATTATGCTAGACTTGAATATAACAATTTAGGAAGAATAAAGTTATTAAGAGGTAATCTGATAATAATAATGATGATGATGATGATGATGATAGGATAAAGTCACTTATTAATGAATATATATAGGCGTTGATACTCTTAAAGATCAAAGTTATTTTTTGTCAACAGTTTCAGAAGGAAAATTAAAAAAAGTAATTAATTAAATATAATTAATTATTATAATTAAATGTTATAATTTAATTATATGGATTTCTATTTATATTTTGCCAGGTAATATTTCCAATTGGAAATTTATATAAAACAAATGTTAAATCAATAGCAAAAGAATTGAATCTGATCACAGCAAGTAAACCCGAAAGTATGGGTGTTTGTTTCATTGGTGAAAAAAAGAAATTTTCAGATTTCTTGGAACAATTCATTCACAGAAAAAATGGTAAAATCTTGACAATTGATGGAAAAGTAATTGGTAAAAAATCATACAATAATAATATTATTATTAATAATAATATTTTGAGTTTATATGGTAAAATGTTATTGTTATTGTTATTAATATTGACAGGTGAACATAAAGGATTATTTGCATATACAATTGGGCAATGTGTAAAAATCAATTATTTACAAGAAAGGTAATAAATAATAATTTATGTCTGATAATAATAAATACATTTTAACATTAATTATTTATTGTTTAGATGGTTTGTATTAAAAATAAATGTTGAAGATAATACTTTAATTGTGGTACCTGGATCGTAAGTAATCACAATAATATTATTGGCAAGTGGTATTCATATTATCAATTATATATCAATAATGGTAATTTTGTAGAACAAATTCATTATTATATTCCAAAAAACTTGTTGCAAAAGATTGGATCTGGATTTGGAATGACTTACCAAAAGAAATTTTGCAAAGTAATTAAATTACTATTATTATTCCATATTTGTTATTATTTTACTAATTATAATTAATTAGGTGATGATTTACATGCACAAATTAGATATAGACAAACACCAGGTTTGCATAGATAGAAACTTCATTTTTATGTCAAAACAGATCATATTAATTATTTTATCTATTTTATAGTAAAATGTAAAATTATTGAATTTGATCATAATAACAACAAACATATTATTGAATTCAAAGAATCAGTAAGAGCAATTGCTCCTGGTCAAGTAAGTAACCTTCTATAATAATTAACTTATTGTAATTTATTTACATAATTAAATTATTATTATTATTGTCATTATTACTGAAATCTAGAATGTTGTTATTTGGTATAATAATTATTGGTGCCTTGGTAGTGGTGTAATTGAAAAATCTTTGATTTAATTATCTATGATGGAAAAATAAAAAATCCTTGCCATCAATCAAAAATCAAGGATTAAATTTTTGCATTTGTTTATTAATATTATCATAAGAATCTAATTTAATGATGTTGAGTTGTTGATAGACTAGATGGTTATTTATCCACTATTCAATCAGCATCTTTACTATTGGTAGTTGAATCATTATTAATGTTGATTCATTCTTATTGTACATTCATTTTAATATTGACTTTGAAATTCCTATCCTGCCTGATTCCTTATTATTAAGTGATTATACTACACATAATTTATTTATTAATAATATGATATGTTAGATTTGTTGAACTTTATCCATTTATCAGACATTTCCACTATTTGATTTTTCAGACATGCAATACTGCTGTGTTGTTTCAATGTAAAAGAAGGAATTAAAAATAACAAATTCAGTTGGTCAAATAAAAATTAAAGAAACAGAATGTTTGGGAAAATGATTAATTTATGTATAACATACCAAACAAAATCTGAACCATTTTATTTTACAGCCTTCCTTCTAACATCAAAGCCCAAATGCAATTTCAGGGTTACCAAACCCACTCTGAATTGCAAATTTCCTCCCTGTGCTTGGAACAATTTGCAGATTCTTGTTGCATTGATGTATCTGGATGTTTACATGGCACTACAATTCATCAACAGAGTTGTGACAGCCTGGTCACAGAGCCAGCCTAGAGGTAGGATCATTGCAGGAGACTTGTTACCTAACATGTCAGCAACCTTCTCTGGTCTGGGTGCTGTGAGGAAAGATTATCAGAAGTGTCCTTGACAATGATGCAGTTTGATAAACTCCAGAGCCTTGCCCCCCCCCCCCCCCTTGGAATTTAATTGCATCATCATATCATCAAGT